ATATACATATTGGTTCAAAGTAAGATCTGGAGCACGACAGGGATGCGTTTTATCTCTCCCCTGTTTTTATTATGTGAGGCGGCGTGGTGAAATCAGGCACTCGTTATAATCAATGAAAGTCAAGAAATTGGCTTTTCCCGCAGGTTTGGGAATTTTAATCGAATTTTTGTTTTCCGGTTCAACACCTTTCATACCCATCAAAGAGCACATTTCTGTGTGGAAGTTACTGAAAAACGTTGATTAAAGGCAGAAGAAATGTAAATTTTCAGTTTTCACGGACTCTCAAGCTAAAGAAATAACTCAACTTTGACGGCCATTTTCTCGCTAATTTCACCCCTGAAACCAGATGACCCCCACCTCCTTCAGTCACACATATCTCTACTTCTATTCAACATAAATGGATATAACTTTCACCCAAAAACAAGGAAAATGGACGAGCCCTAAGATGATACCATCAACTCCGTATGCCCTAAAAATTTTGAGATCCTGATTCCACCGCGTTGTGCCACATACATATGGACACAATAACGCAAGACACAAACCAAAGCCCAGAAAGCCTAAGTGAAATTCTATTCGAGGACGACTAATGTCTTATTCATCCAAACCAACAAAGCATCCTAAATCCCACTACTGAACTGAACAACAGCTGCGAGAAATTTAAGCTGAAAATAAGCACATAAAAAAAGAAGTTATGAAAGTGTGCCGAAACCGTACTCCCCTGAACATCCATGTCAATAGTAAACAACTGAAACTTGTGAAGGAGTTTAAATATCTTGGCAGTACTTTTTTTGAAAACGTGTCCATAGACAGAGAAATAGAAATGCGACATCAAAAAGTCACCTACCAGCTCGCACCCTTCCTATCCCATTCAAACATCTCCATGGGCACAAAGAGACAGCTTATCACCTCAGTATTCATACCAACATTATGCTACCAGTGCCAGACCTGGACATAAATAAGTAAAACCCATGAAATAAAAATCACCGCATGTGAAATTAAATGTGTCCACAAAACCCTTAACATCACAAGACGAGATAGGCAGAGAAAAGAAGAAGTAAGAGCAGCTATCGGCACTGAGTCCTGCCTGCGTTACATGGAAAGACAGATAATACATGTAAAATGGTTTGGCCACCTGTTACGTATGTTACCCGACCAGCCAGCCTCAAGAGCCTACAACACCAAGCACAAGGCTATAAAGAAAGAGGAAGGCCACGCAAAAGGTGGTTCGAGGGTGTCAAGGAAACCCTGAGAAAACATAAACACAACTGAAAGAGCTGTGGAGTTGGCCTACCTTAGAAAACTGCATCTCCCCTCGACGCTTAACGGCAACAGAGGATGAAAAAGTAAAAGTAAAAGTAAGTAAATATATAAATACATATATAATACACGTGCCCGCGCGGGCGTGTG